CCCCCCCCCCCCCCCCCCCCCCCCGTGTGCTCGGTGACAACAAGCACCACCGGAATTCTTAAACTCTACGAATTAAGAACCACAGGCTGAGCGAACACTTTGCTGGGCGTGGCCGAGTGCTAGAAAGCAAAGATTGAGGCTCTCTGTTCACACAAGTTCAGGTAACAGCACAGGACCTTGGTTACCTCCCCCATCCTCCGGAAAGGTGCGCGTCCAACAGCCAGAGAGAGAGAGAACAATTAGTTAAACCTCGAGCAGATGGCGTTTCGGCTCAACTCTTCAGAGCACCTTCCCCATTTAAAAGCACATTTTAGGCACAATTCATGCGAAATAAAAGAAAAAGCCACGACTTCCCTTCGTGGACTTGAACCTTCCCGTAACCTCCCTTGTGGGGGGTAACCCGTCCAACGGAGCTGCATGACATCAGGGGCCGTATCTCCAAGGACTCGCGCGGAAAACGGCACCCGGGAGCCTGGTAAACGGCCGTGGAGTCATGTCTGAATTAATGGCCTCGAAGGGAGGCTCAGCCGGTCTCCCAGGGCACCCCACCAAAGCCACTCCGCACCCACTGGCACGGGCCCCACGCGCGACCTCGCCGCCCCCGTCCGCGTTCACTCACAACTCCCCAGTCCAGGCGCCGGGCCGCGAGCGCTTCCAGGGCAGGGCCTGGCGTTGCGGGCCTGGGTCTCCAACCCGGCGAGAGAGCCCCGAAGGCGGAAGCCGCGCTCCCGGCTGCTCCGAGTCCCGCGGGCCTAGCAGGGCCCGCCGCAGAGGGGGACGATCTGAGGCGCCCTTCCGCCCGCCGCGGCCCCGACCACTTCCGGGCCGCGGCCTCGGCGCCTCCCACTCCACCCGCCCCGGGCCACACTCTTTCTTCTTAGACCCGGTGCCGCGCCGCCAGGCTGCCGTCCCTACCGAGAGGCCGAGGAGCGGGCCGGCTCCACCACGCGCCCCGCCGAGCTTTGCGGGCGGTCCCCGGAGCTCGGATGGGGTCGGATGCCCCCAACTTACATCTTCCCGCCGCCGCAACCTCCTCCCGCTCTCCTCAGCCGCTAAGGCCGGCGCCGCTCTGGCGTCAGGGTTAGGGAGCGGGAAGGCGCCGCTGTCGGGCGCGCAGCGATGACGTAGAGCGCTCTAGCCAATGGGCGCGAGCGAGGGGAATGTTAAAGGGCCACGGCCGTTTTTGGCGAGCCGCGTCGGCGACTCTTGCTCTAGCTCCCTTTCTGAGGAGGTGTCTGGGACTGCCAGGGGCTGGCTGCACGCCTCAGGGGGCCGGCTGATTGTGGGACCGCGGTCGGCAGGGCCGCGCCGCTGGGGCAGCCCCCGGGGCGGCGCGGAGGGAGTTAACGCAGTGGCGGCCTTGCCCCAGCCCTCGCGCGTGCGCACTGGGCAGGCGGCGGGTCTGGCGGTAGCCCAGGCGCGCCACCCTTGACCCCTGTGCTTCGCACGCTGTGCGGCCGGCTGCTGGACCGAGGGCGGTGCGGGCGCTCAGGCTTCTGGCTGCGGGCCATGGGGGGTCCCGCGGGGCTCAGGCGGCTCAGGGGCCTGAGTGGGTGCGGGGCTGGGTTCTTGCGGTTAAAAACCACGTAAGGTGGGCGGAGTGACCGTGCGGACGCCGCTGCTGCGCGGATGGAGCTCGGCCGGGTTCCGAGCCTAGACGGGGGACAGTGCGACCGTCACGAACTGGGAGCGAACATCAGGGTAGAAGACAGGATGCGGAGGGGGAAGCGCCTCCGAGGAGGTGACACTGCGGCTGAGACCCGAGGGGGAGGGGGCGCCCGGCAGAGGGAATAGCCGCGCTACGGCGTTGCAAGAAGGGAGGGGAGGCCAGTGTGGCGGCTCGCAGGCCAGGCTACGAAGGTGGAGTTCAGCGGTGGTGGGGCGACGTGGAGGATGTGCAACATCCGGCGCCGAGGCTTCTTCACTCTGGCCGGTGAACAGCGCAGGCAGGGAGGCAGTCAGCCTTCTGGCAAAGCAGTGGCCCGGGCCCAGGCAGGAGGCTGGGAGAATAAAACCCGGCGCCAAAGAGGCTAGGGCTTTCGGGTTTTGTTCCCCACGGGGCCGCCAGCGTTCCCCCACCCATGTCCGGCAAGCGGTTGTTACTGCATGACCCTTGGTGGGAGCAAGGAAGGTGCACCCCGCCCCAGACGTTGTCCGAACAGGTAGGTGCATCAAGGAAGAGAAGAGAACAGATCGAAATCGGATCTTTCTGGAGAAAGGAATCACTGTGATTTGGACTAACCGCTAGGACAAGGACAGGGGAGTCCAGGTTGCAGCTTGGTGACCAGACGGTTGGTGCTGCAGACGCTGTCTGCACGTCATTGTTCTCTGCGCTCTGTGGTTTTCCCAGCCTGTGGATGGTGGTGCCTTTCCCTGTCCAGCCAATCTGGCCCCATCCGGAGGTTGTCAGCTGTGCCCCAACACCTTCACCCCGGGCTGGGGGGTGTCTCAGAGTCACGGACAAAAGGGAGCCCGGAAGGAGCAGCCCCCTCCTGTGTCCCTTCTGCTAAGGCACCAACACATTTCTAGGGGGGATGTGTTGGCAGGCAGGCAGTCAGTCCGGTGCAGGGGCCTCCCTTTGGATTTAGATTTGCCCTGGTGTGGTGGGGGTGCATTTAGAGCATTGAATTCTCTACTGTCATTGTCACATCTGCCATGGCCACGCACGGAGGAGTGAGTGGAACAGAGGGCAGCCCTGGCTCTGCCCTGCAGCCGTCAAGGGGCCCAGAGGGTCAGCACTGGGGACAGGGTGGCCGTGGCAGCATGTCGGAGCCCCACACATCCTGGGCCCACCATCAGTGCATGCCCAGGGCCGCACCGGCACCCTAGGTGGGGAGAGAGTGGGCGAGCAACCCCACCTTGGCAAGGGTGGGAACAATTCAGCCGGGCAGCCAACCCCCGCTACTTGTTAAAAAATGAGCGGAATGCTATAGTTTGGCATGCATATAAATTTTAACACGTTTTATGTTAAATCTAAAAGCATGATTTATTCATACACATGAATTTAATCAAGTTTGTTTCTAAATATTGCTGATTTTTGTTACCAAGTGTGTTATCAGCTGTTGAGCTTTAAAATTTGAGCATCTTTTGCCGTTTTGAAGATGAACAGAATGTGTTCAGAAGAAACATAAGGAAATAAATCTGGAGGCCGCCTGCCCCCTGGCCTTCCAGGAGTTCTGGCTTCACCCTTCTTACACCCCTGTGCCAACTTACTGAGGCCGTGGGGGCTGAGGGCTGGGACGCTACGTCCTTTGGGGACCTCGGGAGGCCTTTGGCCCAGGTTTGGTGGAGGGGGGTGGGGCAGGGCTCCTGGAGACTGCATTGGGCAGCCAGCCCCAGGCCTGGAGCACTATACCACAGGCATCTTTCAGGCTTTGCCAGTGTCCTGAGCCCCTCCCTTCCCTTCCAGGGTCGGGGGCCACCTGCTGGCATGTGGCGCTGCTCTCCATTTGGAAACGTACCCTTGTCAAGACAGAATATTCCCTCTGCCTTCATTCTCTGTGGGCCTCTGCAGTGCTTGCCCTTGGAGGCTGGTGACCGGGGACACGGAGAGGGTTCAGTGGTAGTCTGGATGGTGCTGGAGGTCACAGTGCGCCATCCGGGAGCCTCAAGTAGGCATTGCATCCCCAAGAAAGGACTCCTACCTACCGCTGAGAGTCCCTGCACCAAGGACAGGGGTGGCCTGGCCAGGTAGAACAGAAGAGTTTGGGTGGAGTCAGGGAGGCGGTGATGGCTCGGTGGCCTTGAGGGAGGCATTAGAAGAGGAGGCCTGGGTCTCTCTGTGGAGGTGAGAGCCTGCAGCCCCTGCAGGAGCCCAGGAAGAGGCACTGGCTGGTCCTTCTCAGTGGCCAGGCTGGGCCTTAAAGGGTCAGACAGCCAGCGAGGGTCTGGAGTTGTGGGGAGCCTCTCTGGCTGCAGGCTTGTGCCTCTAAGGTGTGGGTTGTCGGGTCCTGAGACCTCTCCCATCTCCCTGCCAGCAGGTGACTCTGGACTCTTCTGGGGGTGGCTGAGCAGTGAGCTGGGGGCTTGTGCTGGTTTTCATGCCCAAAGCCCCATGTTCATTTCTGCCCCAGGGAAGTCAAGGATAGTGTGCCTGAGCTGGGGCGGTCACAGCTGTGCGCGGAGCAGTGGAGCTCGTACGCTGCATCGTTGGCGGACCTGTGGGCCGTGTCGCAGTGTCGACTGGGGCCAAGATGGCTTGGCCCTGCTCCCAGGACCTACGTTGTGCCATCCACAGCCAGCCTTCTTGGGACTTCTCCAACCCTGCAGGTGTCTGATGCCAGCATCTGTGTGGTGTAGGCCGGGCCCCAGGAGCGGGGCCTGGGCAGCCCTGTGTGTTGAGGAAGGAAGGCAGGGCCCCCGCTCCCCGGGCCCGACCCCGTAGCTTCAGCTCCTCATGCCTGTTTGAGGACAACACCACGTGGGCCTATCAGGTGGGGATGGGACTCCAGGGCCCAGCGCCCTGCTTCCTGGTGCTCTCCTGGGAGGGCTGCCGGGGTCGAGACCTCTGCCTTGTCGCGCCTTCTCAGGCAGCCTCTCAACCTACCTTCCCTGAGCCCCCTCGTGCAGGGACCCCAGGGGCTTTGCTGTCCTTTGGGAAAGGGAGATAGGCTTCAGGGACTCGAACCTCCCAGGGTTTGGAGGTAGACCTGAGCCGGGGTTCAAGGAAGGCACCTCGTGTCTGCCGAGTGGGATATCACACGTGGCCCGCTTGCCTCAGCTGAGGGGTGGAGTGAGCAGCCTAATCCTTACTTTGGTTTTGGGGGGAACTTTTAGAACCTCTGTGGCCACCTGTTTGCTGCAGGAGCCCCTCTGGGTCCAGATAGAGCCCAAGCTGTCTACCCAAGAACGTCTCTTGGTGTGCAGGTAAGGGCCACAGGGTCTGGGTGAGCACAGGTGGCCCTCCCTTCTCACTGACCAGTCTGTGTGGGGGCGGGGGGGGGGGGGGGGGGGGGGTGGTCTCAGAGGACCTGGCTGGCCTACGCCATCGATGTCGTGCTGGTTCCCAGAAGCGAGCCGAACAGCAGCTGGCATGGGGTGTCCTGCAGATGCCATCGCCAAATCTGTTGCCCTGGCTGGTGGTCTAGCCCCGGGCTGGCCTCTCGGAAACCTCCCCCCTCACCTCCAGGTTCTGGCACTGTGGGTGTCCGGGCTGACTGCTCTGGGGCACTGGGACGTTGCTGTCTCTGTGGTCAAGGGACTGACTGACTTCAGCCCAGGCTCACGTGAGTCCAGGCTGGACCGGACGGGCTGGCTTCTCTCCCACCTGCGATGTGTGGTCATCCCCAGGCAGCTTGCGGCCACCCTTGGACCAGCCTTCCGGCCTTCCTTCCAGCTGCTGGCCTTGGCTCACTCCTTCTTCTGCCCTGGTCCTGTCAGCTGCTTTGTGAGACAGGGCTGAAGGTCCCTGAGACTGAGGTGACCTTCGCTCCTCCTGGAGTCCTGGATTGAAGATCTGGATTGGCGTTTGCCCAGCAAAAAAACCTGTCCAGTTTGTTTTTCTGTGTCCCTGCGACCATAGGGTCAGGGACACCATGGGGGGCAGGGGCTGGGCCCTAGGGTAGGGTCACTTCTGCTAGCCTGTGGGTCTTCCTAAGTGAGGTGGGGTCTCGCCAGCTCAAGTGGACCATGAAGGCACACTTGTGGACCCCTTGAGGATGCGAACCTGCACACTGCAGTCGTGGTGGAGACTGGGATCGTGTCCTGGGACCTGGCTCTTATCTGGGGTACCCAGCTAAATAAAGGACCCTGTGTCCCGGCTCCCTCTCCCTGGAGCAGCCATGTGCCTGCGTTCTGTGCAACAACGTGGACGCAGAAGCACATGACATCCGGGAGCTGTGTCCTCCTCCCGTCCCCCTGCTGCTTCTGTCTGAAGCCTCAGGGTGACCTTGAACCCAAGAGCAGAGCTTGAGGGAGGCCTGCACCTGGACAGAGCAGGCAGATGGAGGCTGGCTTCCTGAGGCCTTGTCGGCGACAACACCCAGACCACTGTCTCTGGACTTTGTACTTGACCGAGAAATAAACGCCTGTCTGGTTTCAAAGCTGCTGGGACTGGGCCTTCTGATGTGCACAGCAAGCCGGCTGCAGTCTCCATTCCACAGGAGTGGTTTCTGGGGCCTGGGGGTGGGGTCCCCTCACCCTGTGACCTGCTGCCTGGCATTCTTTCCCCACAGGGAAAGCAGTGGATGGGGCTCGGCCTAAGCCCTGCCCCCAACAGGGTCTGCCCAACCCTCCCTGTGGAGCAGCCCCCTCTAACCTCTGAGTGCAGGTGTCCTGCCGAGGGGCAGTTCACGGTCTGTGTTTCGGTCAAGCCACACCATCGGACGGGGCAGGATCTTACACAGGCTTGCTCTCGGCCCTCACGTCGGTGTCCGCCCCTTGGGAGCCCCTGACCAGGCCCACGGGGTAGGCGAGGTGCGACCTTGTCTTCTGGGTCTGCTGATGAGCTGGGGAGGGGCAGGGGTCCAGCAGATGCAGCAGCTGTTTGGGACCAGCATGTCCAGGGACCCTCTGGGCCCCAGGGGCTGGGGGAGAGCAGATGGGCTGGTGGGGATGAAGCAGGCCAGCTCTCCTGTCGGGGTGTCCGTGGTCCTTCCCCCTCTCCCCTGGGCCCGGAGCTGCATCAGTTCAAACCAAATCAGGTGGGCTCCAGCCCCGGCTCCTTGAGCTCTACTGCTAGGTTTCCAGTAGCCTTGCAGATGACTTGGGGGTGCCACGGGGACCCCAAAAGTGGTGCCCCTTCCTGCTGCTTCTGGGGTCCCTTCTCCCTAACTGCAGTTGCCAAGCTCTATGCTCCTCCCGCTGCCCCCCCCCCC